CAAAGTTAGATTGCCACGGCTAGGGTCTACGCCTCACTCGCATGGGTGTCTACACTTATAGTAGCGGTTGGTAGCGAGGGTAGGCCCGTAGGTAGCAAGCGCTTGTAAGCAAAATGGCGATCGTAAGCGGTAAGCGCTGTCAAATCGAAAGTAGCTATTTTCCTCTAGGACACGAAGTTAGTTTTAAGCGGGGGACCTAACCTAATTTAAATATATGTTTGTAAAGTATTCATATTAAAAACTTATTAATCATGATTTTTTAATAACATGTATATGTCTATTCATGTTATTATATTATTTAAAACTAATATTGCACAAAAAAACCTTATAAACTCTACTTCAAAACAAACAAATTAAATAAGCAAAATGGCGGATTGTGTCAGCGCTACTGAAGTAGCCATCGTGTCCTGGCCGAAAACTATTTCAGCGCTTGTAAGCGCTTGCTAGCGCTTTTTTCTGCCAAACGCACCCAATGATTGCATACTTTTATGAATAAAATTGAATTATTTTTATTGAATTACCACTATTTTGTATGGATACAAAGAAGGAGTGAAATGAAATCTACATTAGCTTGAACGCTCAAGCCGATCGTGCCTTTCGCTCGTTCATGCCGCGCTCTCACTCCAATCGTGCTCGGTTTGGCTGGAGCGCGAGCGTAACGGGACCACGGGACAATGGGTCATCATTTTTCGTGCATGCAGTCGGCGTTCGTGGTTTTATTAGACGTTTTTGTCACTTCAAAAATAACATGTTACTTGGTTAAGTGATAATAGGTATACTTTTGAAAATGTTGAAAATCAACAGCCTAGATCACATATCCTCTCCACTGTCCAAAACCTTCTAAAGGTCGCTATTAAAAAAGTACGCGTCTGTCCACAACTTTTAGAAGGTTACAATTTACTTATAATCTTTAGACACGAAACAGCCGTAGTAAATGTATCTGTATCTCCCTCTAACTCGTACTAAATTGTTCTAATATCATTAACCTACTTATCTCGGTATGGAATTGTCGCTATTGAAGTACAAAATGTGCCTTTTTTGTACCTGTTTCGGGTCATCTTAAGTGGCCCACATTATTGTCGAGCTTGTGGTGTAAAAAAAATATACGCAGAGTTGTGTTTTTTTTATTAATTATTGTAAAGTGTATTTATCTTATTGTAAATAAAATAAATATTTATTGAAATAATTGTTTGTTTTTTTTACATTTTTTATTCACCAAACTGGAAAAAAATCGCTTTCAGCATTTTTACCATGGAATTTAGAAAATATAAAAAAGGTGAATGTACACATTTGCACATATTCTATTAGCTTACTTAACAATAATTCTAACAACATATTATTTTATAGAGTTTCCATTCATAATTATTAAGATATTTACATTTTAATGGCACGCGTCACGTAGGCAATAAATCACTCGTTTAGAGTTGGACAGTATGCGCCAAAGTGACCATTTTTGCCGGGACAGTTGAGAGGATATAGGTACTGTGATCACTTTTTAAATTTTTCAGGGTTTTTTTATGTAATCCTAAATAACTATGCTATTGATTACAGTCGCCTTACCTTTAAAAAAATTTACTATACTACCATAGACAAGTTGTTTTAAAAATGACCCATTTAACTAAGATTTCAAAATGTACAAGTCCGCTGCCCAAAAAAGATTTCAAATTCCTTTTTAGCTTTTATTGTTGTGATGTATAGTATTTATATGACAGCAGCATGTTTGACTATTGTAAAACGTTTAACTCAGTATTTTTCCTTTGCAGCGACCGTGGAACAATGGTATATGGACTTTTGTAAATTATCTTTATACGGCAGAGATTATAATAGTCAAAGATTACGCCTAAAGGCAGCATTGCAGAATTGCCAAGTAGAGGAAGTCGAAAATATACTTACAAATAATAATAATTCACAAATCGATATGGAGTATTGAAGTACTAAATGGAAAATAATATACGTGTTCTTTTACTTTGTTTAAGTTTATTAAAAAAATTTGTGCTCAGAACTTCGTTTGTGTTATATTTTAGAATTAATCAATCATCTGTAATCTACAGATATTATAACTTTAACCGGAAATTTATTGTACATCTGTTCTTTACTTTACATATATAACGGCACAAGTCGTAAGCAAAATGTTTAATTACTGTCGTAGTCATTACAAAACCCAAAGACGCTGGGGAGCTATTTTGGAACTTACCAATCTAACAGCGGTTTATTTAAACTATGTAAAACATAAGACTATAAACGTGTAGGTTCAGTCATCGTTTATATCCTTTTTCTCCACACCGCTTTCATCGCGATCCGACCAGCTTAGGTCGGTAACTTTTATGACCATAAAATTGCCTAATTTCTGTTACAGTTACATGTTCTATATTATAGTAGAAATGTAAGGTCAAACTAATTCTATTAGCTTTGTGAAGTTTATTCATGGAATGCATGCATTTAATCTTGTTACTATCTCGCTAACTTTTGCTTATTTTAACAATAATATTTATATGTTGAATAACTCAACATATAGAACTTCCTTTATACGAACCTGACTCAAGGTGATTGAATTTTTGTTCCGCCGGAGACGCATACCTGCAGTTTGACATGTGTGTAAGATAAGGAGGTCGAATGCGACTCATGTATTATTGTAGTACATAGTAAAAGTCCTATACTGTAGTCATATGAAAGTAAGGTCTGTGAAATAACGCAATTATGTGGAATGGAAGGTCTCGGATATGTAAAAGCATTATATTATGGAACAACAATCGCTTAAATCAAAACTATTACGAATGAAACTATAGTTCTACCATAACTACTAACTAAAAATATGCGAAAGTGTCTTGAAATTGTCAGGATCGATTTCCTGGCGATCAATCCTCTCCACCTACCCCGCAGGGAAAAACGTAAAGCTGTAGTTATAATGTATAATAAGTAATTTTCTTCAAAAAATGTTTATTTTTTTACAATTTACAAAGTTACAATGCAGCTAGTTTTAGGTCATTTTTCAACCGACTTCAAAAAAGAGGAAGTTCTCATTTTGACTGGTATTTTTTGTGTGTTTCACCTCACACCTCAGAACTTTTTTCTAGGAGAACCGATTTTGCTTATTCTTTTTTTTTAATAGTAAGCTAGTGTTTTGTGGTGGTGTTGATTACGATCTGACCAATAGTTTTAAGTTATCTTTAATAATGCAAATTTAACTGACTCCGTCTACAATGATGTTCTAATTTTATTTACATTGTGGTCGGTTACACAATTTTTTTAATTTTACCACTTTATGACATTGCAACAAAACCGGCGGAAAACTTTGGGATGTGCGAGATGGATTTAGAACAGGAATGGGGTGTAAGGATCAAGTCTTTTCCATGCGAATGATCGCGTAAAAGCTATCGCTAAAAACCAAAAGTTTTTTTGTGCGTTTATGGACTTATGACAGAGTGGACAGGGATGTGTTGTGGCAAGCACTGAACTCATTTGGGTTGAGCGCTGGGTTGATACAGGCATTAAAGTATTTTTATAGTGCTTTTGTCGGGATTTAACGGGATCTACTCGGACTGGTTTGGCATCCATAAAGGTGTTAGAATCGGCTGTGTAGCTTCCTCGTGGCTATTCAACTTATTTATGAACAGTTGAAAGTTGAAGAATTTGGGTTAAGAATGGGTGAGTGAACCGCCAAATACCTTTTGTGCGCCGATGATCAAATCATATTTGCGTCGTCGGCGGCCGAGTTGCAAATGATAGTTACATTAATCAACAGGCCAATAAAAGAAAGGGGAATGAAAGTGAACACAAAGAAGACGAAAGTGATGGTTTTAAAAAAGAAATAAGTAAAATGACACGTGAAATAAGAATAGAAGGGGATTTGGTATGTGTATTTAGCAGAAATGGTAGATATGATAAGGAATAAGGATATATAACGACGACGAGTGAACATTAAATAGAGTAAATGGGGCTCTACACTTTATTATTGGAAGTTAGAATGTGTCAAAAAAGGCACGTGTAGCGATACACAATACTCTGTTAGTCCGTACCTTAATGTATGGTAGTGAAAGTTGGGCGTGGCAGAAGAAGAACGAGAGTAGAATAAATGCTGTAAAATTCATTCATTCAGAAGTATGTCAGTCATTAAGAAGTATGTTAGGGATGAATCTGAATGACAGAGTGAGAAATTGTGTGATAAGAGAAGTGGTTTGCAAAATGATGTTATGACTAGAATTAAGAAAGGAATGCTTCGGTGGTTTGGTCATGTAGAAATAATGAACGAGTAAAACAGCAGTAAAAGGCATAGTCGGGAAGGGACGCCCTAGATGAAATTTTATCTACCAAATTAGCAATATATTAAAGATGGGCCAGATTAAGAGTACCTTTAACCGACAAGCATGTATGCGTGTAGTGTAATTCCGTAGCCTCTGCTTACCTCTTTAGGTGACAGGCGTGAGTGTTTGTGTTTTACGTATGCAGTAATATTTTTACTACTCCAAGTACATTTTATAAGTTGGTTGACAATTACTCGTTAACTTGGAAAGCCTACTTACCTGTTATAGTTTTCCTTTTAACTGTACTATCATGCATACTTTCGCATTTCCAAAAACAACGGTTTAGTTGATAGGGGGGGGGGGGGGATTATTTTAAGGGCTCCTTTTCCTAAAGAAGTTAAACTTTTCTGATTTCATTTCTTCACTACAAGGCGCATATTACTTTTAAGCTACTGACGAAAAATGGGACTTGTAGCCATCTGTATTCTACATTCGACAAAATTGCCAGTAGTCCTGTTAGTAAGAATATTTGCTGTCTACAGGTAAAGGTCCGATATCATCAACTGAGTCAGTTTTTAAGTAAGACGATGGAAACAAAAACAAACATATAATTCAAAAATACATATATTTTATTACACACACACGCGTATACATCGCACGCATATATGTATATATCATTCCGTAATGAAGATCATCCGTTATAAAGGAACAAAATTTCCATATGTAAGTTTTAAACCTTTCAAAAATAAATTTTAAATTCTAGTTCCCTGGCATTTTGAAGTTAAATGAATGTGGATAGGACTTCAATAACGTTTGGTCGTAGTGGTATATGGCATGTTCGTCACCACATATCCTGCTCATGTTCGTGATATGATGCGAAAATTCATTTATAGATGCCATCTGTTCTGCTAAATACACGGAGGTAATGAAATCTGCACATTGGTAGTCATTTACACTTTCTGCGACGTTGACAATATTTTCTAACAGCTGTTGAAGAATAAAAATTATAATTTAAAGCATTTATAAGCAACAGGTTTCATTGTAATCGATAAAGGGGTGTTCATTATTTACGCAAGTAATTCATTATTTACGCGTTTTCATTATATTCGCGATATCAGCGATTTTAGCGATTTTTCTATCTTCATTCGTTGGCTCTACCGCTTAGTCGTGAGATATTTTTTTATAGGATAAGGGTGACAAGCGAGCGCACAGACCACCTGATGGCAAGTGGTTGCTGTGGCCCATATACATCTGTATCTATCCTTCTTTGCGAATCAAAATGCAGATGCGTTGTCAGCGGCGAGGACTAAGATGGAATGCCTCTTTTTCAGTAAAAAGGGTCTCCGGTTCTCTACACTCACCATACGAAACACAGCAGCATTAAGCTGGCATTTTACGGTGGTACTCTATGAGAGCGTGGTAATTCCTCGGTCGAGCCGACCCATTTGTGCTACAACTATACAATTAATATAACTGCAGAATGGCTCTACCACATATAATATAATAGATATGGCTCGACTCCACTCACTTGCCCTCCCAAATCTCACGTGAGATATATAAATACGTTAATCTGTACTTGATTGCGTTGGGTTTATTTAAAAAAAAAAACATAATTTACTTAATTTATTTTTATATAATTGTGGAGTTCGCATAGCCACGGTAAATACTTATTATTGTAAGATATTTGATAATTTTCTCCAAATTTTACATTGTATCTTGAGGAAAAACAATTACGTGATATTTGCCGATATCCTGCCTCTCCCCCACGTGAGATTGGGTAAGATTCGACTCGAATCAGGGAAAAGGGGTAGGTAGGCCCTTTTAAACATCTCACATAATTAATGGAAGAATCGATCGAGACAAAGGTTCGACGAGCTACCAGCTCGGTAGAATGTGTGGTGGAGATTTATTACTACTAACTTTCTATTAACATAGGTTCTTGTCCCGATATAAACGTGTCTAGAATCGTCCTATTTGCATGTTAAAAGTCAACTAGGGGATATGATAAAAAACCCTCATGAAATTAATAGGTGACGGTTGGCGCTCAACCTACTTTAAATACAAATCTTATAATACTCACGACAGTGATGGTATAAAAAACGCGTGAATTACATGGATTACCTTAAAATAGTAACAGCTTATGTACCTACTTCTCACTTCAAGAAACAATTATTTTAATTAATGAAACATTATTAAAGGACAAAGAGTCCGTCAAACTGCTGCAGTTTTTTAAAGTAGAATAATGGTGACAAACGAGTACATAGTCCACCTGATAGTAAGTGGATGCTGTGGCCCATAGACATCTACATTTATCCTCGATTAAGAAATAAAACGCAGATGCGTTGTCAGCGCTGGGGACTAAGATGGAATGCCTCGTTTCCAGTAATAAAGGGTCTCCGGATCTCTACACTCACCATACGAAACACAGCAGCATTAAGCTGCTATTTTACGCTGGTATTCTATGATAGCGTGGTGCTTCCCCAGTCGAGCCGACCCATTCGTGCTACAACCATATTACCTATAGCTGCAGCTTGGTTCTATCACGTATAAAATGTGCGTGTTAACAAATTTTATGTCTTTGAAACATTTTTCATTTCTCGGACGCGCAGTTTTCCTAAAGCTCTACACTCTGCAAAATCGATGCAAAGTAGGTGAATAGTTGTAGATTTTTAGACAACAAGGTGGGAGTCTTTAGATCCTATAGAAAACATAGAGACATGCGCGTCACAACTCATCTCTGTAAGCTACTGAGCGGATCGCCTTACGATGTTTTCCTTTACTAACAAGTAATTCGGTACGTAGCAGGTAAAATCACGATTGCGAATTTTTTGCTCTAGTTGCTTGCGTACTATGAAATTCAAGGCCTGCCTCGTGCACCTTACCTACCACAGATCTAACAAGTATAAACTCAAACCATTTAAAATTGAATTAAAAAAATATTTCTTCATCTCTACCTCTGTTACAGACTTTTCCATGTCAAGACCTTGTTTAAAAGCACAATACAAGGTCAAATTTTCATTAACTATTGGTGCATTAAGTCCACTTATAACAATTGCCCCTCCTCTTATCAACTGATATTCAATTAGTCGCTGCATGTGCTCAAGTTCCTCTTTATACATTTTCATAAAATAACCACCAGCGCCCGGGCGTGACAAACACGGATGTAGAAAACTTGTTGCCATTGACAAGTAATCTTGAGCCGCTTGCTGTTCTGCTTGAATCTGCTGATTTATAACTGTCTGCACGTTACAGTCATATTTATGTTGATAATACACATTTCTCATGATAATACTGTTCGCCGTCCTTACTTTATTTACAAAAATGTTACAAAATTTGTTTAGCATGTTTAAATGTAAAAAATATAACTATAATTTTTACAGAAAAAATGGTAGAAGAAAGATATCAAATTGAAATAAATTGGAATATTAATAAACTCATTTTGTATCAAACTATTTTGACATATGTGTCAATAGGTTAATATATAATTGTCAGTTTTTCTTTTTTTTTTCAAAAAAAGTCCCGCTGGGTTTCTTGCTGGTTCTTCCCAGGACAGAGGTTTTTCTTCAGTACCAGTGGTAAAATCTGTCCCAAGGAGGTGTCGGATTTATCGTCCACAAGTCTCTCGTCAACAACGTTGTAAAGATTGGGAGTGTGTCGACGAGGGTCGCGTACCTGATACTCAGAATCACCAAACGGTATTCGCTGAAGGTCATACAGGTCTACGCACCAACCTCGGCACATCCCGATGAGGAGGTGGAGGAAATGTATGAGGATATTTCTAGAGCCATGCATTCCTCCAAAACCCACTACACGGTGTTGATGGGAGACTTCAACGCAAAACTACGCACAAGAGTAGGCGGTGAGCTGAAGTTAGGGAATTTTTGAGTAGGGCAACGGAACCGTAGGGGCTAGCAGCTGGCTGACTTTATGGAGAAAGAGGGACTCTTTATGATGAACTCTTTCTTTCAGAAGCGGCCCCACAGGAAGTGGACCTGGTCGAGCCCCGACGGTTCGACAAAAAATGAGATTGACTTCATTATGATGACCAGACGCCAACTGTTCAATGATGTCTCAGTGATCGCAAGGGTGAAAACCGGCAGCGATCACCGAATGGTTAGAGGCACACTGAACCTAAACGTTAAGTTGGAGAGGTCTGTCCAATGAAGTCAACGCTCCGTCCCCCCTCGTGCTCTAATCCAGAATCCCGAATCTTTTCAGCTCGAGTTACGTAACCGGTTTCAGTGCCTAGAAGATTGCAATGCAGTGGACGATATGAATGACAAGCTCGTGGAAACTGTCCATGCGGTCGGAGCTAAGTTCTGCAAGACCCGCCGCAGAAGAACACAAAAACTCTCCGATCACACTCTTAATCTCATGGCTGTTAGACGGGAGATGAGGCTGCAATCGTCAACAGATTTGACAGCATACAGGCAACTGAACAGACAGATCTCCAAATGCATGCGGCGAGACTTACGCAACTTTAATACTGCTCGTATTAAAGAAGCGATCGAGCGGAACCAGGGCTCCAAAGTCTTTGCCAGAGATCTGTCTGCCAGAAAGAGCCAACTGTCAAAGCTGAAGACCGAGTGTGGCAGCATCGTTTCCGAGACACCTGAGATTTTGAGTGAGATTGAGAGGTTCTATGGGCAGCTGTACACATCATCGTTGGAGCCACACGCAAGTGTGAGTAACGATCCAAGAGCAAGTCTTACCCGACACTATTCCGATGATATCCCGGACGTCAGTCTGAGTGAGATTAGAATGGCTCTCCAGCACCTTAAAAACGGCAGGGCCCCAGGCGAGGATGGAATTACAGCGGAGCTTCTGAAAACGGGTGGAACATCGGTACTTGAAGTCCTTCAGAAGCTCTTCAATTCTGTCCTCCATGGTGGCACTACTCCGGAGGCGTGGAGCAGAAGTGCGGTGGTCTTGTTCTTTAAGAAAGGCGACAACGCTCTCTTGAAGAACTACAGACCGATTTCCCTTCTGTGCCGCATCTGCGTGCTGTTTTCGAGAATCATTACGAATCGTCTCGCACGCAGACTCGACGACTTCCAGCCTCCCGAACAAGCCGGTTTCCGAAAAGGCTTCAGTACCATAGACCACATACATACCCTGCGGCAGATTGTACAGAAGACCGAGGAGTACAATCTGCCACTTTGCCTGGCGTATGTGGACTATGAGAAAGCCTTTGATTCCGTTGAAATTTGGGCGGTGCTACAGTCTCTTCAGCGGTGCCAAGTTGACTGTCGGTATATCGAAGTGCTGAAGTGTATGTACAGTAGGGCTACGATGGCTATCCGAGTACAGAACCAGAGTTCGAAGTGTATCCAACTGCAGAGAGGTGTAAGACAGGGTGACGTTATATCCCCGAAACTCTTCACCGCTGCGTTGGAAGACGTTTTCAAGCTATTGGGCTGGAAAGGATACGGTATTAACATCAATGGCGAGTACATCACTCACCTTGGATTTGCCGACGATATAGTCCTTATGGCAGAATCGCTGGAGGACCATAGCACTATGCTCAATGACCTCAATGGTGTCTCCCAACGGATAGGTCTTAAGATGAACATGGACAAAACTAAGATCATGTTTAATGTCCATGTCACACCTATGCCGGTAGTTGTTGGGAGCACTATGCTCGAAGTTGTTGACGAGTACGTTTACCTGGGACAAATAGTCCGACTAGGTAAGTCCAACTTCGACCGAGAGGTCAATCGACGGATTCAACCCGGCTGGGCAGCGTTCGGGAAATTACGACACATCTTCACGTCAGGTATACCTCAATCTCTGAAAACTAAAGTGTACAACCAGTGCGTGTTGCCAGTGATGACTTACGGATCAGAGACGTGGTCCTTCACCGCTGGCCGTATGAGGACGCTCAAAGTCGCTCAGCGAGCTATGGAGAGGGCTATGCTCGGAGTTTCTCTGCGTGATAGACTCAGAAATGAGGATATCCGCAGTAGAACCAGAGTGACCGACATAGCCCAACGGATTAGTAAGCTGAAGTGGCAATGGGCCGGCCATATAGCTCGTAGAACCGATAACCGATGGGGAAGAAAGGTTCTCAAGTGGCAGCCTCGTACCGGTAGGCGTAGTGTAGGGCGACCCCCCACTAGATGGAGTGACGACCTGGTAAGACATGCAGGAAGTCGATGGATGCAGGTGGCTCAGGACCGTGCTTTGTGACGTTACTTGGGGGAGGCCTATGTTCAGCAGTGGACTTGTGAAGGGCTGTAATGATGATGATGATGATGATGAGTGGTAAATTAAACAAAAGAGTGACTTTCAATAAGTATTGTTTATAATCTAGATATTAGAAAAAAACTTTCTGTATCTAGCAAATTAGATCACTTTTGAAGTCACCTCGGTATCCGTGTCTCTATGTCTCTCTTTCACAGGAATTTTCTCTGAGACTATTTGACGTAGATGATTGAATTTTAGCAAAACTTTAATAATATGCCACAGGAATATTTTATTAATATGGAAAACTGCGTTATGCCTAAGAATAATTATTTATCTTTCGAGTGTGAATTTTAAGTCTAGCAACGCCTATCACCGGCATTCTAGAAAGACGCAACGCGCATGCACGCAACATTTAAAAAATGGATGTTAAGATCGTACCTGCTCAGCTACTTATTTATTTAGTACTTTTAACTACTACTTGAGTGTGCATAGCAGTACAATTATTAGAAAGAAATGGAACTCGCAACTCCCGTAAAACTGATGCGTCGCCAGACGTGTGGACAGACGCCGTGCGTTCGCGCTGAAACCCTTTGTTGCGTGCCACAAAAACCGACAACAAACGGATTGGTGGCAGACGCATCCACAGACGCAGAGTAAATTCCCCCGTCCACACGTCGGCGGACGCATTTGCAGATGACATCTGCTGACTTATCTGTCGACGTGTAGAGGCTTTAGAAAGAGTATAACAGTTGTGAAACGAATGTACTTGAGCAAAGCAACGACGGGGACCTTGCGGGGCAGGGGGCGGCACGACTTTGTGCAAGATGGGCGATTGTTGCGAAAAAAACAATGGACTGAATCGAAAATTGCGCTATTGCGCATTTATTATTGATTTAGTAGTTCTTCACCATTATTATTTGAATAACAATAGAAAAACGGACAATGACCTCAGATATGAGCCGAGTGTCAAAATGCGTAACTCACAAAATCTCAATTTAGATGTGATAACAATATTCAAATATTGATATTAGGTATTCACACTTCTAGGTCAGCACAAATGTTTTATATTTTTGTTTCTTAAATATTATTGTCTGTGGTTCCTATAAACATCGTAAAATTTTACGGTACATCGCGAAAAATGTGTTATATTTTATGTTTCAATTTATAGTAAGTAACGCAGCAATTCTTTTAATAACAGTTTCATATTTAAAAATATTTGAAGCAATATAATCACCATATTGAGCTTTTGCAAATTCATCCCTTTAAAATAAACAAAACGCGCGTTACGTCAGTTCGTTTCAAAAGAAACATGACAATGGCAGCCAGAGATGCGTCACCTTTTTCTTTTTTTAAGCTATTGCATAGCTTCTATCGCGGGCCTTGAGTGCGGGAAAATCCATAAATTCCGTAACGAAAAAACCTCACGCTCTCCGACGGGCACGGAGGTGTGGCTTGAAGGCCGTGCATTGTCTAACGATGGTCTAACGTCGTTTCTTTTCCTCAGTCTTCGACACGGTGTTTGTGTATAAAGTGTTTTGAAATTTTGAATATGAATGAACAAAGTGCATTTATTATTAATGAAGAAAGTCACGAAAAAATAGTGAAAGAAAATGAGTGAGTACTCTATATACATACCTACATTTTATTATTATCACAAATGCAGTACTAATTTTGAATTGAAAATATAATACTGCTATAAAGATAACCTAAATTTTTGATATTAAAATGAGCGATATTAAAAGTAGCCCTCTTTATATACACACAAACACACACACGCGTATAGTTTAAATTCTCAATATGTATATATATATACTCGATTAACCGGACTAATTGTTGCCGTTAGGGATTCGGATAATCGAAAATCCGGATGATCGAATGTATGAAGAAAAGCGGGTTTTGTGCATTTGTAGTACATATGTACATACATAATGTT